GCATGTTCGGCTGGTGCGCAGGGTTCCTGGCTCCAGGCGGGTGTGGGGTATCGCTCTGGGGTTTTAGCCAGGGACGGAGCAGCGTAGGAGGGCATGGTTGGTGGCGGGGGTCCCTCCATGCTCCCCCGGTGTGTTGGAGGAGCGCGTGCCCAGGGCAGGAGCTCGCAGGCTGGGTACGGTCCCTCCATGCTCCCCCGGTGTGTTGGAGGAGCGCGTGCCCAGGGCAGGAGCTCGCAGGCTGGGTACGGTCCCTCCATGCTCCCCCGGTGTGTTGGAGGAGCGTGTGCCCAGGGCAGGAGCTCGCAGGCTGGGTACGGTCCCTCCATGCTCCCCCGGTGTGTTGGAGGAGCGCGTGCCCAGGGCAGGAGCTCGCAGGCTGGGTATGGTTGCTCCAAGTTCCCCGGGGCTGCTGTATGATCTGTACTCAGTCTCAGCACTTAGTCAGATAATCAGCACATGTGATGAAAACTGGGACATATCCAATGTAAACACATTAGCAGTTCATTTGTGTGGCCGCTGGCTGCACGTTCACACTGGGACACTGGCCACACATACAAATTAACAGGCCACTGGCCACACAAAGTGCATTCCCGAGGTGGGGGTGGGGTTAGGGGATGTTGGGCCATTGTCTCACAAATTCTACTTTAGCGTTGTGCAAACTGAATGTTTGTGGCAAAATGTGTGGGGTATGGCCTGATAAGGACAAGGCCTTGCACATGCTTCCTGATTAGGCCTCACATGCGGCCTTGTCTCACACAGCTGCTTCCTGATTAGGCCTCACATGTGCTCAGGGGTGCGGCCTTGTCTCACACAGCTGCTCAGGGGTGCGGCCTTGTCTCATACAGCTGTCAGCAATTTAATTAGTGACTATATAAGAGGCAGAGCTGGCAGGATTTGACACTCAGTCAGTGGCCAGCACGAGAAGGAGACACACCAGACGACTCAGCAGAGGTAAGATCCACCCACCCACCCATCCATCCATCCATCCATCCATCCATCCACCCACCCACCCATCCATCCACCCATCCATCCATCCATCCATCCTGACTGTGTTTTCTTCTTTTTCAGAAGCTTAGAGTTATGCCGCCCCGTCGTGGATCTTCCACGTGTCCAATTTGTTTGAAGACTTATTATGCCATGTCAAACCATCTCCAGCGAACGCACTCGGTCAAGAATGTGCAAGAGAGAAAACTGTTGTTGAACTTGGCGTCTGGACGAGTAAATGTGAGGAACGGCAAATGCCCAGTTGAAGCATGCTCCTACAGTTCTGGCCGCCTGGATAAACACCTGTTGAAGGCACACCCAGCGTTAAGTACTGCCGTGAAAGGTAAAATGCTTGACGCTGCGAGGAGGGCCAAGACTATTGAGCTTCTCCAAGCTCTCGCGGACACAGAGCCTTCTCCTCCCCTGACCTCCAGCCTCTCTGTGGAGGGCTTGGACGCCGACTGTGAAAATGAAGTGTCGGGAGCCACCTCCTTCTCGCCGTCCCCCCATTCAGACGAGGATGTGCCCGGCCCGTCGTCTGCGTGTGCCGTCCCTGACTCGACCGGGGCATCTGCTTGTGAGGAACAGGTGCCAGAAGCTCGTTTTCCTGCATCTATCGGTAAGTCGTGTCCTCGACACTTTCTAAACGTGGCCTGGGCGTGAATAACCTTTTGCTTTTTGTCTGCTCAACCAGTCACTTTTGTGGAAAGCTACAAGCGTTTTCTGGAGGGCGGGTGCCCCAGCGCCAAACGCCGGGAGAACGTGGGGTCTGCTGTGAATCGGGTCAGTTGTTTTCTCCAGCGTATGGCGTCTGGTTGTAATCAGCTGGGCACCTGGCTCTTCCTGGATGACGTTGGGCGTATTCAAAGGTAAGCTGGTTTGTGGTGGTCGCCATGCATGCCTTTCAAACGACTAAAATGGCAACGTTTTTCTGCAGTTGTGCGCACGAGCTGATGTCGCAGGGGAGAACCGTCACCACTGCCTGCACTCATCTCAAGAACGTGTACCAGTTCCTCGAGTATTTTACAGAAACTCCTCCACCATCATGCAGGTTGTCAAGAGCCCAGCAAATCGGTGTCTTGAGGGCATTGAAGAACTGCATTTGCCAGCTGCGTAAAGACGTGGTGCTTCACCAAATAACAGTTAAAGATGCCAAGGTGTCGCGCATCATTTCAGCACAGACCCTAACAAAGTGCCGGGACTTGGCCCGCTCCAGAATCCCTCAGCTGCTTGGTAAAACTTTTTATCTCTTCTCCCAATCCTCCTCTCTTTCTATAACTTTAAACCACTCTCTCGCCATCTCTCTCAACCCCCTCAGACATGATGGAGGACGACAAATCCCCCGAGCTGAGGCATCGCTTTTACGGCTACTTTTCTGCCCTGATCGCCTCTGTCTACGGTCACCGGATTGGCGTTCTTATTGGCATGGCTGTGTCTGAGGTGGAAGCTGCCAAGGCACGTCATCAGTCAGAGTCTCTGGGCTTCGTTGTGAATGTACGTAGTGAGGTACTAGGTCGACGCGTGGCACGCAGGTGAGCCAACTAATTTTGCATGCCTCCTTCCACAGGTGAGGGAGCACAAGACAAACGGTGCCTTCGGTATGGCACAGATCTACTTGAACCACGAGGAGTTCTCCTGGGCTGAACGGTGGCTAAATATGCAGGCTGCTCTGTCTCTGCCGGAGGGGAGGTTTCTCCACACCACTTCTAACAGCCCGGGCAAGATTCTCCTCAAGTATCTCCGGGTGGTGTGGGAGGAGATGGGGCTTCCAGGATTACCTTCCTTCACAGACATCAGAACGTCTGTGGCTACGCATG